AACGACTGAATCGCGATAGGCATACACACCCACAGAGCAGCAGATCGTTCATGCTCACACAGACTTGAATATAGCGCATTTCAATAGAACAATAGTATTTTGTATTTTCAGACTGACAGTAAATGTAAATGTATTAAACTTCAGAATCTACTATCAATCACTTGTTTTATTCTTGCATTAATTAAAATACAAAGCCCATACAAAGGCTGAATCTCGAGGCAGTAAAAGTTAAGGGTTGTCTTGAGCCATTCTATCCATTGTCAAAGACTACGTTGCTTCCTATTGTGCAGTTACACCTATGCTCGCAATGCACAGAACAGCTCTGAGGCTGACACAGACTTTGCGAATCCGCAAAACCGTTCTTATGAATAGTTGATGATATTTTACCAAACTATCCTGCTATCAAACTTGCACTCCTCTCTGCTCTGTTGCTATGAAGATAATTGAGGTCCTCTCTATGATAGGTCTAATAAATTCAAAGTGTGTTATGGAACGCCGTTCAGGCAACAATGATTTGGTAAACAAAATGCATCGGGTAACAATATGCATCGGGTAACAGGATGCACATGGTAACCAAATGCATCGATGAATATGCACCGGGAAATAAAATGCACCGGGAAATAAAATGCACATGGTAAAAAAATGCACCGAGTAAGAAATACAATGCACCAGGTAACACTGAAATGCATCGACATGCAAAATGCACCGGGTAGCAAAATGCATCGACGAACAAAATACACCTGTTAATAATGCACCGGGTAACAAAGCATCAATTATAATCCACGAATGCTTTGATATGTAAACAAAAATTATTCCCGTGAAATGACAGTAATAGCTTTAATAACAATAACATCCGATGTTGATTCGTAGGCCTATTAGTTATGCATTATTATTAATTATTATTATTATTATTATTATTATTATTATTATTATTATTATTATTATAACAATAATAATAACTAATAGGCCCGAATCAACATCAACTTAGACCTATAATATAAATGTGCACATGTTTGTGTACGGTTTGCATATGTGGCATTACACAGAGCCAACCCATTGATGAATAAAGTTACATTGTATATTGTTTGATATATTGTATATTACGTAAATATTGCTATACAGGCAAATGTGTGCGTGTTTTTGTTGAATAGTAAATTTAACATATAGCATTATAATATTGGACTAATTGACAATATTGAATGGAAGGAGACATTATTTTCTCTTGTTTTGTATTATACATTCTTAACTTATTATGGTAATTCTATTAGGTCTTTGCAAATCTGTATCGATACCCACTGAGGGTGAGGCTCCATCAAATTTTATATAGTTCTTACAGATAACGAACATGATGAACTAATCTCGGAATCTGTACTGTAATTTCCAGTGATCACATATTGGGAAAAAAATGGTAGCGTGCTATGTGGAATCCCTTGGATTTAGAGTACCCTAGACTAGAATACGGGAAGTTAGGAATTCAAAGATGAAAGACACATTGAGGCGTAGGGACTGTTCAAGGCCCGAATGCACTTTGGCAC